ATTATACATGTTAAAACCTATCCAAAGTCAAACAACGACACTCTGCTATTCAAATTTGACATGGTTAATGACGAAAGTTCAAGCATCTAAACAGGTGCCCGTAGCTACAGTCCTGAAACCAAGCTTCATGCTCATCGATGATAATAATTATTTAGTTACATTAACTTATTATGGAAATCTGATACAAATGGATAGAAATACTTTGAATGTCATTAGTTCAACAGTGCTTCCCTCATATTGTGCAGGATTTGGTTATAATAATGGATACTACTACATCGGTAAGTGTGTCTGAGTCGCATTTATTTTTGTCGCAATTTATTCTTTCCGAAAGGTTGTTCGATTTTATGAGGATATCTAAGGGCGGAAAAGGTGCGATTTTACTCAAACTATGTATCATTTAGAAGGCGATCCGTCTTCTCTAGTGAAAATCTTAGGCCCTTCTTAAAATTGTCTTACTAGGATCTTATTCTTTAAGACAATTTTGCTTTGGATAATGCTGATTAAAAGTTCAAAAGTTTGCAACGTATCTCGAATGAATACTATTTGAAAAATGTCATCGTTCTCACTATTAAGATCCTAAGAGATTCTTATTCAGCCTGAAAAGTTATAGAGAGTATAATCTTAGTAAGATCTAGCTAGGATCTTGGAACAATCTTATTAAGATCTTAGTAAAATTTCGGTTACGTTTGTCTCAGATCTTAGAAAAATCTAATGAAATCTTAGAATTTTCGGCTCGCATGACCTTAGTAAGAGTTGAGGATGAGGGGGGTTTTAAGGTCCTAGAGAAATGTAAGTGCAATTGTACTAAGGGAAGACGTCAAAACTATCAACGAATCAATCGGATCAAACGAATCATTCGTAGAATAATGTAAGAAAAGTAGTTTGGGAGTCTAGATATTAGGAATACTCAATTACGTTGTATGTCGAAAAGATTCCACTAAGGCAACTGGACTTTTTCGCTCGAGGCTCTTCGCGTTGAGATTCCATATGAATACAACGGTAACGCTAATGAGAATCTTTTATCGTTAGAAACCGATTTATATAGGTTGCCGAGTGCGAGCTTACTTCTCATTGGTAGAAATCGTGAAAAAATGAGAAGTTCGACATGGTTAAAACTGGAAAAAGTCCAAAATTTGGAAAATTTGCGCGCTTTCCTCACCCATGGAAGATGTTTTTATATAATTACAACTGCCAGATAGCTTAAGTACAAAGTTACAGCTGCCTAAGTAATCAATTTCACCAAAAAATCTTGCCTTCGGAGCAATAAATAACAGTCAGTTTTTAAGAAATAATGTCTCTTATTCTCGGTAACGGAAAAGACCTGAGCAGATATATTTTCGAATTAGTCATGTTCTTGTGCTTATAAGTACTTTACAAAAAAGATTTTTCTTCAACTCGTCTGCAAAAAAACTCCAACCAAATCTATTGTGACTCCATATGATCTAATGTGCATATAAAAGAAGTATGATTTGTTAAATGTTAATCATCAATATTCAGAGCCACATATCTCAGACAGTAAAAGGGATCTCTTTACATCAGTGTATAGTACAGCTTGTGTACTTCAAACTAGTATAAAAAGTTGAAAAGGGTCTCTGTAGTTAATTTAATTTTAATTCGCGAAGTTGTTAGAATATAGGATCCTCGAGTGAAAAACCCAGTTGCCTTAGTGGAATCTTTTCGATGTACAACATAATTGACTATTCCTAATATCTAGGCTCCCAAACCACTTTTCTTTAGAAAATAAAGGTCAGATTTTCATATCTTGTTTCTTTCCTTTTTGTTCCACAGCATAGTTCAGCAGCACCATGAGTCTATTCTATCATTAGTCTATGTAATACCTGAGCCAACCCACTATGACAAGGATGATGAAAAATCATTCTTACTAATTGTTAAAAACCATATTAGCAATTGATGAGGCCGAAGAGAATATATATATTACCTATAATTCATTAGCACAGTTAATGTGTTCTTTGATGTGTTATATATGACAGTTAATAAAAAGTAATCTATTGGAAAAAATGAATAAAATGGATAAGAAAAGATAGATTTTATATATTTTCTCTCTTATACAAACATCACAGAGGAGCGCTTTACATTAATCTACGAATAATCCGAATGATTCGTTTGATCCGATTGATTCGTTCATAGTTTTGACGGCTTTCCTAAGATCTTAAGAAGATCCTAGTAAGTTTGGAATATAGGTACACCGGATTTTGAGTAACAAAATATTAGAAGGGAAGAAGTTGAATACGTACCGTATTTATTGACACATCATAAAAAGTAAAGTGTGTAAATGAGACATACAGTAAACGCCAAGTCCATTCCTAGTGACCGTCTAGAATGCACAACGTAAGTGTATGAAGTACACACACTGAGAAATGACCGTTTAGCTGTACACACTGGGACCAGTGATATAGCCTAGTTGTCTAAACCATCTGTGCTCGAACTGCTTCAGACATATCGATCGGTTGTTCAAATCTACCAAATGGCGGTATTCCTTTTTCGCGTATTCTTCTTATAAATTTATGCTGAAAATGACAGTACATATACTTGGAAGATGGTAATCATCATTCTAAAGTTATTTCTTCATATGGCACAGTAATTTGAAAAATTAAAAATAAGAAATTCTTCGAACACACTGGGTTTGACAATCTGGAGAAGGCACGCACTTTTCGATGCCGAGTGATCGTTTAGAAGATGTGCGCACCAGAGCTCCTCAGGAACTGGACTGAAAATGTTTTGGGCATAGTGGGCAATCAAATGAAAAACGTTTGATCCAAGTGTTGAATACGGTTGAGAATAGTAAGTCGGAATTTTCAGCCAGTTTTGTCAGGGTTTTCAAAAAGCCGTTGTTTTGGCCAGCTAAAACAAATTCCAAGAAACTGAAACACATATATTCTGAAAGCTCAGCCTGCCAGCTATCGATTCAAATGTTAAACATTTTATTTCAAAGAATATCATAAGGAGAAAAATGAATTTTCCGTAGAGTACGTGTCTTCGTACTACACGTACGTAGTATAGTGCGTGCGCCATCTAGCGCCAAGATCCGTTCGAGCTGAAAATTTCAGGAAATATTCTTCTGTATGTGGTGCGTCTACATAATTAGCAGAAAGTTGTAGAAATGTTTCTTTGCGGAGTTACAGATTTTACAAAAATCGCACGTTTTTCGATGGTTCTTTTGCTTCAGAATCACTTTTCCCCAGAAATAAAGGCACATTCGAAATCAGCGTGAAAAACTGCATCGAATGATATATAATTCAAAACATTTTTCTACAGAAAAATTTTCAGTCACACTGAATCGTAGCATAGGAGCACTACCGCAGAAAATTTTCACTCTGCATGTGGACATATGCTGCAGAAGTGGTAGATAAGTCTATAAACAGACTGTCTATAGGTTTTTGAATATGCTCCTTCCAATGGTGAGATTTTCAAACCATAAAATAATTTTTTCTGAGTTTTATTAGAGACCCCGCCTTCAGCATATTCGAAAACCTATAAAAAATGTGTTTATAGACTTATCTACCACTTCTACAGCATATGTCTACGTGCCTAGTCAAAATTACCCACTGTGTTGGGTTCATTGACTCGGACTGAACTAAAACTTGCAAGATCAAGGACTGGTCTGATCTCCGAAATAACTTTGGATTCACTTCAATCGGGGAAAAACAGGATATTTTTGTATTGTGGACTAGACTGGACTACCTTTTCGAGTCAAACAACCTGTTTTCCATGAAGCCCTCGACTGAGCTGGACTAGAGTTTTCCAGTCTATCGACCGGACTGGACTCAGAATTTTGAGTCCATACGGACCTCTGGTACACACTTAGTAACACACTTTACTTTTTACAGTGTAAGAAGAAGAAACGTTCACTAGTTTCGTTCAAGATTCAGTTTATAGTATTTTCAAAAGTGTTCCACCTCCCAAAGTGCCAACAAGAACCGGATAAACTACTTAGAAGAATTAGCTTTTCATGGTTTCAGATATTTCAATCTGCGAATTTGTTGCTTTGCAATCAAAATATGAAATCTGTCGCACTGGGGAGTGGTCGAGTAAATGAATGTATATAAAAAGCTGTATAATATGACTGAACTTGATTATCATCAATCAAGACTAGGATTTTGATTCCAGTATCAAAAACCAACTCAGAGATTCTTCACAGAGTTGGCCTATCTGAAATATCATCCAACGTGCTCAGAAAAAGATGATTGATGATAATATGATATAAAAATTAGCGTCCTCGGGGCTAAAATATTTGCGAGTCCAACTTGAGAAGGAAAAGCTTAAGTACCGACGAATAATTTGGTAGCAGAATCACTAGCATATCAACTCGATCTTTCATTCAAGGTAGCGATGTACCTCATAGAATCTATGTTTATTCCTCAAAAAACCTGACCCGTGGTTCTCTGGTGAATATAACAATAACCGGTGATCCACGTGAAGTTAAATTCATTCAGAATTCAACGATAATGATCGTAGCAACTGAGACTATAGCGGTTCTTTCATTTTATCGTGTTTATGCACCGGGTTCGAATTATTCATTCATGTATTCCGTGCCAGCACCAAAAACCTCTCCATGTAGCCTGTATAAAGTCAATGATACATTCCTGTATCTGGTGCATTATTATGCTTCAACACCGATTTATAAAATGATTCTGTCAGGGAACAGCAGTAACTGGACATTTGTCCCGCTGCCAAACACGGCCACACCTCAATATCCAGTGCAAATGGCCATTGACTTCTGTGGACGAATCTGGTTCGCTATCTATGGCTTGGGCGTGAATATCTATGATCCGACGGGATCGACACTTCTTGCTACATGGCCAGTGTCGACTGGAGTCGGCGGGATTCTAATGCTGGATAATTATGAATTATATCTGGCTGACTACGACAATAATCAATTGCTGCATTTCACACCTAATTTACAATGTTCACTACCATAAACTAACTGATTCTACTAGAGACCAAGAGAGATTTGAATAGCCGATTGGATCTCTGTACTGCATCGCAATAACTGATACCTTAAAATAAAGACGTATACGACGAAAAAAGCGGCCTTTACTGCTTTTAGTTAAAAGAACGTGAAAAACGCCTACCATCATATCCACATTGGTTGGTAATGTTGACACGTAAATGGTAAGAAAGTCTTGACGAAAACTAGAGTAGAATAGTTAAGAGCCATATAACGTAATTTACGCCCATTTGCCTTTTGAAATCATCATAAAATATCTTTTAGTTTTTTTCAACAATTATTATGGCAACAGATAGAGCAAAGAAAGAAATGCAAAACCGTTGAGTAACAGAAAACCATAAACTCTAAAGCATGAAGGAAAAGAATTGTAGTTCGCCCTCCACATGAATATATAGATTAAACATATAGAAAAGATGAATGAACATATAGAAAAGCGTTGAAAAAAACCGTTTCTCATCTTAGCAGATATCATTTCTATGTACTTTCTTCTTTTGTGGTTTCACTTTGCAGCCTGTGTTGTTGCTATACTCATATATCTGCATTTCATTTTATCTCTTCACTCTCTCAACACACCTATACTGGTCCATTATACATAATATACCGTTCTTCACTACTTTCACTAGCATTCACTGATGTCTATGAAACGTATATGTTTGTGTCTCTCTTTATTATTCTATTGATACCCGTTTTTTTCTCTCTCAGATATGTAAACGTTTTATGATTATGTTTATTGAGAATGAAAGTTGTGCTTTTGAAACGTATTATACAGTTTCTAATTAATTAAAATAAAAATGATTTTAAATCAGCTGTCCTTAATCTCACATGGATATGTAGCTCGGAGGTGGTAATCTGACCTTATCTTTTAGTGTTATGTGACCTACGGCAGACGAACTTTGATCAACCACCGAATTGAACATTTTTGTACTGTCTTGGTAGACTCAAAATTTTCATTTTTGTTTTTAAATCATAACGCTGTTTTTGTGATCTTCACCATACACCCACTTGGGTATTGGTATCTTTAACTAACTAACTCACATGGATATTAAAATCATTATCCGTCAACAAATTCAATATTTTTAAGAATTTCAACTACCGTCTATTATTTTGTGACGAAGCAAATCAAAGTAAGTAAGATCTAAAAGTGACGTTTAAACAAATTATCGGGCCGTTTTTATACGATACGATTAAAGTGGACATCTTAGACTGCAAAACGTTAGGAAGATCAACTAAGGTCATAGTGGTCTAACTCATAGTCTAATAGTCAGAGTGGTCTAACGCTGCGCTTTTAAATACCTTTTCACTAGTAGTACTTAATAAGATCGTTCTGACGCTCCATGATTAACAATTTCTTTCGAATAAACACGTGCCAAAAATGACATATGCGGTGTCAACAGTGTTGTGGCAATTTTTGAGAAGGCCTTGCGTTTTTATACTTTTGTTCAGAAAGGAAAACTCAAGAATCTGTTTCAAAGTGACTTGAAGGACATTAAGTGTCATTATTTTCAAGGGCCCATAAAAAGACGTTTTTGTATTCACCTGATACACATTGTTCTCTTCTTTTATAAAACTATCTACTATCCATCCCAAAATACAAGACCCGTGGGTATTTTTTTTTCCGTATGGAAGGATTGATGGAAATTGATCAATACACATGATGTAGAAAAGCGATAATAATACTCTCCCGTTCTATGTCTCAAGCACAGAAGGCGAAAATGAAAAAAATTGCCATGCACGGAAGAATTACGGAAGAAATAAATTCCCTCCATCATGCGTCATGTAGTTACAATACTCAGTATTATTTTCGATTAATTTTGTTTCTTATTCATAATTCAGCATATATATATATACTACGTGCTTTATTTCAAATAACTATTCACTTCTGTATCTTTGCTAAAAGCATATTACCAAAAATGCTAAATATTATTCACCATAAGGTATTTGACCGATTTTTGAGTAAATCGTATGAAAATGCCAGCGCTAAACGGAAGATACGTGCACGATCAAATTCATATAATGATGAAAATATACCACATCAAAGACACACCAAAAAAGATGAAGCTCATGTTCTATTCGCTGGTGCGAACAACCAAGACATCGTTTATAACTGGTCAGGAATAAATGTCATTGCACATAAAACACAGCTAATCATTCCGAACACAATCGAACAAATCTCTCAACTGGCGCGCGATACCCGATCAAAAATTTCAGTCATGGGTACTGGTTTATCCTACGAGCAAATCATGTCCATTCATTTGAAAGATCCTCAAGCACTCTTAATCTGTATGCAACATTTTAATGGACTAATCGAAATGAGAGAAGAATCGGCAGTTTTCGGAGCTGCTACTCCTATCAACGATATTATCAAGGTTTTGGGTGAGCATGACCGAATGATGCCGTGTTCGCCAGGTGTCATCGGGATTCAAACTATTGCCGGCTCAATCGCTACTGGTACTCATGGCCAAGGACTCTATCAGTCAAGTTATGCCGATATTGTCCAAAGTTTGACCGTTGTTCTACCCAATGGCGATATTGTAAAAATCGATGGTTCTCACAAAGATTTCCCGTTGGAAGCATTCATCACTTCTATCGGAATGTTAGGAATTGTAGTCAATATCGAAATCGCTCATGTGCCTCGAAAAGTATTCTCTTGTCGGAAAATGACGGTTGACATTGATGAGTTTCTCAGTAACTACCAACAATGGAATGAAGAGAATGAATATGTTAAGGTTTGGTGGTTTCCGAAAACTGATCTCTGTCATGTATGGCTTGTAGACGAAGCAGATCCATCTCAAACACAAGATTTTCTCTGCATATCCCGCTCCAGTCCCATCGAATCAAAATCGGAAAATAAGTCAATGAATGTAACAGTCCGCCGCTACATTGATAAGATGTCTCATGACACTAAATCTTCGTCTACCTCATCACAACCTCAATTTGAAACCTTGAAACGATTTGCCAGCGTTAAAGATTTAGTGGGTTACTCAGAACAAATCTTATGTAAAGGTATTCCTGTGCCACAAATCAATTGCGAAATCGCTGTTCCATTTTCTCGTGCTAGAGACGCTACGCTCGCTTTACGTAAATGGTGTGACGAGAACGAAGACAGACTTCACTATCCGTTCATCTATCGTACAACGGGACAATCTCGAGCTTGGCTCAATCCAGCGTTTTCTGGTCCAGTGTGTTATATTGGATTTCTCATCTATATAGCAAGTGATGGAACTACGAGAGCTGATGGGATGCATTCGATGCTTGAAATACAAAAGATTCTGGCAAATCATAAAGGTCTACCTCATTGGGGTAAACATTTTGTACCAAGTGTATATAATTTTCGACGAGACATTCCCATGTATAATCAATTTAAACAATTAAGAACTCGTGTAGATCCAAAGAAAAAGATGATGAGCAAATTTTTGCAAGATATTTTTGACTAGTAACGTTCATCTTCGATTCACTGGCCCTTGATTGAAAATGCCTTTTTAGCGATGATTTGATTTTAATGTGCGCTTAGCTCTTTAATTCATTTTTGTTTTAAATTCATTCGTTGCTAACAAATTTCGACAGAAGTATACAGCCAAAAACGATACAAAGATCCTAAAAGAAAGAAAAGTAAAAGTCAGTGTTATAAGGGGGATGTGGAGTGAAGATAAAAGTTCCTAAAACTGCGAAGACTGTTGTACAAATATGTAATCTACATGCAAACATATATAAACAGGGCGCCGAACGTTTATGGCTGCTAATTCACAAATAGCGGCTCAATATATTGCTACATTTGCTTCTAGTGCAACCGATTCTACTGTTGATTTTTCATCCTTTTAATTTGAATGCAATGACCAACAATAAAAATCATAGTCGATACATTTGAAGCACTTGCGGCTGCAGTTAATTGTGAGCGTGCAGCTGTAAAAGTTGGTTCAATAGGAAGTTCTAACCATGCTGGTCTAAATATTACGAATGAAAATCTTTATCCGTTGTTGGAAGTGAAACATTGGATATCCACAGATTCCCAAAAGCTCTTGGTGTCCGTTGTTGCTAAAAACGTTTAGCAAAAGTTTAGATCTTCTGAAGAATATCTGTCATCAGTTGTTTCGAGCTTTTGATAGAATCGCGGCGTCCTCCTGAATGCTTGCACATTAATTAGATATTTTACAGTAGCAACATTCATATTTCAATTTTCAATTTTTTTCCTTTTCTTCTATTTCGTCGCCTCTATTTCTCGTTGAGCACATATAATTTAATTTTTTCAAAGAATTTGTACTGCTCACTTGTTTTTTCTTTCTTCATGGAATTTTTCTACCGATTCTGTATATTTGTCAGCATCCAAACCCCGACCCAGGCCAATCTCAGATTGGCCTAGGCCAAATTCCAATCGGCGTTTGAACTAGTCTGAACTCCGATCGGAGTTTGACCTGTAATTTCAGTAGTCCAAACTACGATCGGAGATTCGACTAGGCCAATCTTGGTCGAAAGAAAAAATTGCAGTCTAAAGTTACATTGGACTAACTGTTCTAGTCCAGACTCTGATTGAGCTAGGTCAAACTGAGATTAAAGATTTCCTCAGGCCAAACTCAAATTGAGTTGAATATCAGTTTATTTAACTATAAAAGTTAAATAACTGAGGAGGAGTATGGGTGTGATTTAGGATAACATATTTTCATGTTTCTAATACTCACGCAGAATATCGGTTTGTGGTCACTTGTTGTTTCATCTTCGTAAGCTTGTATTGCTACTTGTACCTCAGATACCAGTGCATAGTCTATTTCGTGATTAGACCGTAGTGAAGTAGGACAGTCGGGAGTATATGCAACTAAAGAATGCTTGTGTGCCCATCCTAGAAGGTTTTTCCCTTTATCAGCACACCTCCATGAGGATTCTCACCTTTTTGATAAAACATCTCAAAATCTGGAAATGCATTCGTAATAGTTGATTTACAAAATTTATCGGTTCCCAGTAAAGTTATTACATAAAATTTCCCATTCAGTGTTAACAGTAATACTTCACCCCATCTCAGGCCAAGCCTACATACATTAAAACATAGTGTATACAGGAATGATGTTTTGGATTGACCTTTGCATTTACTCTTTGATTCCCACATTAAAAAACATTCCTCAATATCGGCAGGGTTATGCCATTCATCAGTAATAGTTTGAAATATTTTATAGGCATTTTCTGATAATATACAACGAGCGCTATTCGCCCAAGGAGAAAAAAAATATCGACTATCGGGCGATCTAGCTAGCTAACTCAATATACTACCCGATATACCTAGCTAGCAATTCGAATTGGGTTATTTACTATCGGGCGATATAGCTAGCTAACACG